CACAAAGAGGAGACTGAGGATTCTGAAATACTTAATCATGCTCACGGGGAGCCAATACATAGACCAAGAGGGGCCAATGAATGGCTTAAAATCAGGAAATGTGTGTGCCAGGGTTGTATCCTTTCACTATACTTATTCAGTCTGTGTGCTGAGCAAATAATCTGAGAAACTGGATTATATGAAGAAGAATGTGGTATCAAGATTGGAGGAAGACTCATTAACAACCTGCAATACGCAGATGAAATAACTTTGTTTGCTGAAAGCAAACAACCTAAAATACTTACTGATGAAGATCAAAGACTACAGCCTATGGTATGGGTTGCACCTCAATGTAAAGAAAGTAAAAATCCTCACCACTGGGCCAATAAATAATATCATGATAAATGGAGGCGAGATTGAAGTTGTTAAAGGTTTCGTTTTGCTTGGATCCACCATCAACACTCATGGAAGCAGCAGTCAAGAAATCAAATGACACATATTGCTTTAGGCACATCTGCTTCAAAAGACCTCTTAGAAGTATCCAAAAGCAAAGATATCAGTTTGAGGACTAAACTTCACCTGACTCAAGCCATGATATTTTCAATAGACTCATATACATGTGAAAGTTGCACAGTGAATAAAGAAGACCCTAGAGAATTGATGCATTTGAGTTCTGGTGTTGGAGAAAAATATTAGAGGTACCATGAACTGACAGAACAACAAACAAATCTGTGTTGGGAGAAGTACAACCAGAATGCTCCTTGGAAGCCAAGATGGCCAGACTTTGTCTCTCACACTTCAGATATATTGTCAGGAGTGACAAGTCTCTGGAGAAGAAAGTCATGCTCGGTAAAGGGGAGATTGGTTCTGACTCACAGCTGGTTGGCTTGATCCTCTCAAGTAATGTTAGCGAGTTGTAGAATCATCTGCAGTATGATTGTACTTGAGCACAGTTAATATGCTGTACACAAATATTTACAATAGTTTTATTTGCATTTGTCAAAAATTGAAAATAAGACAAATGTCCTTTAATGGGTGAATGGATACGCAAATCATGAGACATCCGTACAGTAGAATACTAGCCAGCAATAAATATTGAACTGCTGATACATGTAGCCACTCTAGGACATTATGCTGAGTGAAAAAAAAGCCAGTCTTAAAGGGTTGCATATTCTTTGATTGCATTTATATGACACTTGTGAAGTGACAAAATTATAACGATGCAAAAATGTATCAGTAGTGGCCAGGGAAAAGGTGTAACTACTAAGGGGTCACACAAGGGAGTTCTGTTGTGGTAACTAAACAGTTCCATATCTTGACTGGGGCTATGGCTATCTGAGTTTACATATGTGATAAAGTACAATGGAAGTACACATCCACACACATGAGTGCATGCAAAAATGGGTAAATCCAAATAAGTCCTCTACCGCTTTACCTGAGTTAATAGTGTTTTACCAAAATTAATTGACAATTTTTCTATGGTTATAAAAGATATTATTTTGGTGAAACTGGATGAAGGGTACATGGGAATTTTCTGTATTCTTTTCACAACTTCTTTTGAGTCTTAAATTACTTAAAACCATAAAATATTTTTTTAAATCACATCAGGATGGTAGATTCAACAGCAGATGACTGAGGCAAGTAGTAATTGACTGACACATAGGTTCAGTAATGTTGCAGCTAAAGCCACAACTGGACACATAGGTGCTCACAATTATTGTAATCTCACATAGTGAAATGATATGTGCCACTGAGGGCAGTATAACAGAAGAGGGGAAGAATGAACATCCTTAGGAAAGCTTCCTGTCTAACTAAAGACAGAGTCCTGGTGTGGCTCTGTGGGCTAATGAACTGGACCAAAACATCAATTTGAACAGCAAGGTCAGGAGTTCGAATTCACCAGTTGTTCCTTGGAGACCCTACATTGTTTTTAAGTGCCGTTGAGTCAATTCTGACTCATAGTGACCCTGTCCAAGGAGCCAGTAGTGGGTTTGAACTGCTGACCTTCTGGTTCACAGTCCAGTGCTGATACTACAGTGCCACACCAGAATCCTATACAGGGTCACTATAAGTCAAAACTGACTCAATGGCACTTAACAACAAGAAACTTTAAGTTAGACAAGATGAGTTAACTCCACTACTCCACTCAACAGCACTTAACAATAATTGCACAAGTATAATATGAATGACTAAACATAATAGTGCAATAAAAACAAGCATTTCAATAGTGATTTATATCCTTCAGGGCATGATCTTATGTGATTTTCTCACCCGTATGTTAAAGCAAGACAGAGATGATTATTATCCTCAATATGTAGAATTGGAAGCCTAGACCAGACTTTTTCATTGTGCTCTGCTAGTCAATAGCATACCTGGAGCATAAGCCCAATAATTTAGTACTGCCACCCTGCCAAAAGGAGCAAAATTGTGTACAAATATCAATAAGATCAAGCATATTATAAGAATTCTGAGAAAAGGAATTTCTGGTTAGAAAATCAATGATGGCTCTTGGTGGGATATGATTTTGGGGCTGGACTCTCAAATGAGTTTCTCATAATGACTGCTATCCTAGGCGCTCTGGTGGCGTAGTGGCTACAAGTCGGACTGCTAATCTCATGGTTAGCAGTTCAAAACTACCAGTGATTCCATAGGAGAAAGATGAGGCTTCCTGCTCCTGTAAAGATTTACAGCCTCAGAAACCCTATATGGGGTTGCTATGAGTCAAAACCGACTCCATGGCACTTAACCATCACCACCATCCCCATTGTATGACATCACATTAGTTATGAGGGAATTCTCTTGCTGAAGAGCTTCCCCAAGGCATCCTTCATGTCCCGGTTCCTCAGACTGTAGATGAAAGGATTGAGCATCGGGGTCACTACTGTGTACATCGCAGTTATCACTGCATCTTTCAGGCTGTAACTGGTCAGAGGACGGAAATACATGCCCATCACTGTCCCATAATACAGAGAAACAACTGTGAGGTGGGAGCCACAGGTGGAGAAGGCTTTGAGCACGCCCTTGGTGGATGGGACCCGTAGAACAGTGGCAAAGACCCGAACATAGGAGATAATGATGCATACTAATGGCACAGAGAAAACAGTAACTCCTAGGTACATCATTTTCACATTAAAGTGGATATCAGAGCAGGACAACTTGAGTAAAGGGGTAATGTCACAGTAGAAGTTGGCCACTTCGTGGTTGCCACAGAAGGACAACCTGGATGTTAGCAGAGTGTGGGGAAGACCATTGGAGTTTCCAATCACCCAAGACCCCACAACAAGCAGAACGCAAGACCTCGGGCTGATGATGGTTGTGTAATGAAGAGGCCGGCTGATGGCCACAGCACGATCATATGCCATCACAGCCAAGATATAGCTATCTGTGTTGGCAAAGGCAATCATGAAATATATTTGTGCTAAGCATCCTTCAAAGGATATGGCTTTGCTGCCCAAGAGATGGTTTGCCAGCATCTTAGGGACAGTTACAGATGAGAAGATGATGTCAACAAAGGAGAGGTTGGCAAGGAAAAAGTACATGGGGTTGTGAAGGCGAATGTCAGAGCGAATGGCCAAGATGATGAGCAGATTTCCAATCAGTGTGATGGGGTAAACAAACAGGAAGAGGATGAAGAAGACATCTTCCTGCTGTTGCTGACCCGTAATTCCCAGGAGAATGAAACCCAGGGTAGAGGACTGGTTTTCTTCCCTCATGGCTTCTTCAGGATAAAAGGAAAAAGAATCCAGATTAGTAATGAAGTTGCTATTTCTAACAATCATCCTTATTTACCACTTTTGACTCCAAAGTACACCTATCTTTCTACTTAAGTTTGCTAAATCCAAACAGAGCCAATTTTTTTTGGTGAAAAGGTCCCTTATTCATCAGTGGGACTAATTACCAGTCAAAAATTAAGCAGTCTATGAATGAGAAGTATCCCTCCTTCCCAAACCAGTACCACTACTCTAACACTCATGATGCCATCATTTAGCAAATACTCAATTTTTCATATTCCATTTTCTAGATAATCTGTTAGGTCTCATAGAAAATCATAAATCTAAGAAAAATACAGTTCATTAATCCATTTGCTTAACATATAATTATTAAACATGAATCTGAGCTAAGCACGTATTGGAGAAAAGAAGGTGACTTGAGACATAGTCTTCCTTCAAGATCCTTACAACTTAATGGAAAAAGCCATAATGACACATTAATTTTACTAAACATGACAAATAAAGGACAGTATTTTGGAATCTGAGACAACATACTCCAGTCTAATGGGTGTGTCAGTAGAAGGAGTGCCCTGGACAATTAGGACTAAGTCCCCTGACCAAACTTAGAGTGAGCCAGAGCTCAGGAAGTGACAGGTGCCTGCATTGGTAACGGCCAATTAAAAATCATGGAGTCCTGGTGTGGCGCTGTGGGTTAATGCGCCAGACTGCAAAGCCATTTGAACGGCAAGGTCGGCAGTTCAAGCTCACCAGCCACTCCTTGGAAATCCTATACAGGGTCGCTATGGGTCAGAACCAACTCTATGGCACTTAACAGCAATTAAATATCACAAGGAATAAAATCAGCCCAATGAATTGCCCACTCTTATATGTGTCCCAATTTCAAAGTAGACTTTTGCCATCTCCCTCAATAGGTTCTGTATGTTTCCAAACCCTTAACTGTAAGTGATCACAATGCTTTTCTTCTTTGCTTCTTCCTCTCTTTTTTCATTATTTCTTTTGGTGACTCATCCAGCTCTTCAGTGGCTTCAATTACCACACTAGCAACGACTCCCAGGACTTTTTCTGTAGACTTGATTTGTCTGTCCCATATTTCCTTGGTTTGTCATCTTGCCAACATGTTTTATTAAACCCCATACTCTGCACATCCAGCCTAAATAGATTGCAAACTTTTCTGAGGAGGAAACCCACATCTTGTTCATTTTTATCTCCTCCAGAGACAAATTGTGGAGTAATTTTCATTGTTTATACCATTATGTCTGTACACAATATTTCTTGAATTGATCCAGGTTTATTCCGTGGGTTCCCCACATACAGGGTACTCACAGGTACACTCATCCAATTTTTGTTTCATCTTTACATCGGATTTTAGTGATTCTTCATTTAAAATAATCCCTGTACAACTCCACTTCTCTATTAATAGTCTCACTCCTTTAACTGACACCATCATTTTCTACCTGAAATATTGTAATGCTCCCTTAACTGCTTAAATACCGGTCTCCTCTTTGATCCATCTTGTACTCTGAGACCTTAGGAATTATGACAAAGATTCCTAGGTGCTCATCCAAAGCCATGTTATTCTCTTCTTTCTGAGAACTCAGAAACTCCCTTGTAGGGAGTTCTAGCCAACGTATTGGTGTGTTCTAGTTCTGGGCTCCTCTCATGTCCTCTTTCCCCTTTGCTAGCTAAATGCAAATGAAGAGACTGGGATGGTGGAGTCTAAGAATTGTGTGTCCACCATGAAATGCTCATGGGGACTGTTACATAGGAGACAAATACACTTTTATTTTGTGTAAACAATGATATGTTTTGTGATCTTGCTATTGTAGCTCAAGCTATCTTAAGTAATTCACTAGTTTTGTTTTTTTTTTGTTTTTTTTAAAGAGCCCTCCATTTAAGAATTAATCCAATCTATAATTAACTCAGGAATGCAGTAGCTCCATATAGCAAGCACTAGACTGAGAACCACAAAGTCTGTAGTTCAAACCTGCCAGCCACTCCTCTGGAGAGAGATGAAGCTTTCTGCTCCCGCAATGATTGAAAGCCTTGGATACCCTACACAGGGTCACACTGAGTCAGAACCAATTTGGCAGCACTGAGATAGGACAACAAGCACTAATTCTCAATGTCTTCCACAGTACGTATGAATTACAGTCTAGGTACAGGGGATGCATGTATAATTATCTTTTTTCCAAAATATGATGCTCTTTCTCACTCTTACTTCTAAAGGAATTTGGCTTCTTCTCCTAAGTGTCCTTCTCTATCTTCACACAGAATTACGATATGTGCATCAGTGAAAGATTTCAGAACTGGAGCTCTTGGAAACATGGCAGACTAAGGTGATGCTGATATGTCTCATTCTTATTAAGACACATAAAAATTATAGATAAATTATAAAAGTAAAACACACACAGCCAAATCTAAAAGAAAGAAATAAGAATACTGAGGCATGAGAAACAAAGAGAAATCTCAAAGCAAGAGTTGCATGAGACAACTGATGCTGTAGTGACCCTTGGGGTCATCAACCAGGAATTAGTCCCTAACGGCTGAAGTCCGGCATGTTAAGGCTCCTTTGGTACCAGAGAGGTGGTCAAAGAGCTGCAAGAGGCAGGGAAGCTTCATCCCTCTGCAGAAAACATTTCAAGTGTTGCCTGCTTGTAAAAAGGACACTAGGAATATTTTGGCAGGGTCACCATGAGCCAGAACCAACTCGATGGCATTTTACAACAACAACAACAAATACACACGCTCACATTTGAGGTTGAGTCAAAAATTATCCACATTCTGGTTATAGTAAGATGCCCATCCACATCCACAGCTGATGACAACATTGAGCGTGCACATGAAGTGATTCTGTCAAATGGACGTGTGACAGTGGATTATGTAACAAATCAGCCATGGCTCTGCCTATGAAATAATTCATGACAGAGAAAGACTTGGGTTTCGAAAAGTTTGTGTGAGATGGGTACCGAAACAATTCACATCTGCAAACAAAATCTGGACAGATACTCAAAGGAAGGTAAAAATTTATTTTGAAAAGTTGTTACTGGTGACAAGACATGGATTCATCACTACGAGCCTGAGAGTAAGCAGCAGAATATTTAATGGAAACATCCTCAGTTGCAAACCAAGAAAAAGTTCAAAAGTCAACTATCAGCTGGAAATTTGATGCTTACAGTTTTCTGGGATTCTCAAGAGCCACTGGACCACTATCAGGAAAAACGTTCAGCAACCAACAGTGCTAATTACAATGAGATGCTCACTAAAGAGCTGAAGCCTAAACTTCAGATTAATCTCAGAGGACTCCTATCCAAGGACAATACATACCCGCACACTTCTGCCCACACTGTTGACACTCTGCAGACCTTTATTTTGAGGTGTTAAGGCATCTTCCCTATACTCCTGATGTTGCTCCATCAGACTTTCACCTGTGTGGTCCCCTGAAAGCAGTCCTTTGAAGACAACGAGTCACCTCTGGCGAAGAAGTGAAAAAAGCAGTGCATTCATGGTTCTCAGCCTAAAACATTTTTTTAATAAGTAAATATGAAAGCTTGTTGACAGATGGCCAAACTGCATTGAAAAGCAAGGAAACTCTGTCCAAAAATGATATATCTGTCTTTTCTAAAAGTTGGTTAAAATAAATCCTACAGCCAAAGTGGGGATAATTTTTGACTCACCCTCGTGTGTGTGTGTGTGTGTGTGTGTGTGTGTGTGTACTGTTTCAATCATTTAGAAAATATACTTTGTATAAGACCCCCTCACCCTTCAGAACAAAACCAGAAGCAAACCTATTGCCATCCTTCTTATTCCAACGCATGGTTGTAAACTTTAGGGAAGCAGATCATCAGGTCTTTCCACCTAGGTCAAACCACCAACCAGCTTACTGGTCAAATGCAAATCATTTTGTTACCCAGTGACCCCCATTTACAATAACAACAGTAATTTTAAGAACTTTAGACATAATTCTGGAATCCTGGTGGGGAGCTATAGGATAAGCACTGGACTGATAACCTCAAGGTTGGTGATTCAAACCCACCAGCCACTCCTTGGAAACCCTTACAGGGCTGCTATGAGTCGGAAGCAACTCAACGGCACTTAAAAACAACAAGAGACCTAATTCTAAGATGCACTGGTGGCACAAAGATTAAGCGATTCACTGCTATCCAAAAGGTGGGTCATTTAAACCTCCAGTCAGTCACTCAGGGAAAGAAAAACTGGTAGTAGGCCCCAATAACAATAAATAGCTTATTGTTGTTTTGTGCTAATGAGTCGGTTCTGACTCATAGTGACCTTGTATAGGTTTCCAAGGTTTTAAATCTCTGTGGGAGGAGCACCTCATCTTTCTTCTGTGGTACAGCTGGTGGTCTCAAGCTGCCAATCTTGTGGTTCACAGTCTTGTGCTTATCCCTACAGAGCCACTACGCTTCCCCCATAAATATGTATAGCCTTGGAAAACCCTGTGGGGCATTCTACTCTATCCTACCGGGTCAGTATAGATTGGAATCGATTCCACAGCAATGGGTTTGGGGTAGACATAATTCTAACAAGAGGTCCATGACGAGTATGAAAAAACTTACAAAACTTTACTGAAAGACAAAAAAGAATAGCTAAATAAAAGGGAAATTGGCAATGTTAATGGATAGAAAGATTCAATGTGGTAAAAATTTCAATTAGCCTCTACTCAGTCTATAATTTTGGGTTCCTGGTGTGGCACTGTAGGATAAGCACTGGACTGCTAACCACAAGGTCACTGGTTCAAATCCACCAACTGTTTCTTGGAAACCCTATACAGGGTCCCTGTGAGTTGGAACTGACTCCAAGGCACTTAACAACAATCTAAAATTTGATGATTAGTCATTAAATTAATCTTCCTCAATCTTGTAATCCATTATAGATAATAACCCACTTCTTTCTTTCTTTTTATTTACTTTTACACTGTCATTATATATTTATTAACATGGTGGAGAAACACTGGCTATTCTTAG